GAGCAGGGACAGCGCGGGCGGGGGGGGGGGGGGGGTTGCAGGCAGATGTGCAGAGACCCAGACGGGCTCAGCTGGCTGCTCCTTTGGAGCATTTTTTCCCAATATTGCTTGAGTCACATTGTCACAATTGCTCAAACATCTGGCCTTCAGCGTTTCCAGTTGTTTCCCATTTAAAATGTCACAGTTGCGGCCTCACCAACTTTCTGGTGGGTCTAAAGATATTTGTGGGGTCTGTCGAAGCCCCGGCTCCTGGAAGCTTGGGAGGAGCGGAGACCCTCAGCTTGTGGTTTCTAGCTAAAGGGAGTCTCCCGATATCTTTTTTGCAGGGAAAAAAACTATTTTTTTCACCCCAGGGCAGTCTAAAGTGCAGAGATACCAAAGAACAAGTAAGAGATTAGCAATATCTACCAGCCCTTGTTATTAAAACTCATGATTTGGGAGGTCAGCCAGTCTTACAATATTTATATACCTGGTGTCAGCTGTATGGTGCCAGGGAGAATTCAGACCTTAATCCGTAGAGTGGAAGAACAGGGCTCTACTGTACCCTCTCTCCCAGCATTTGTAATGACTTCAAGTGATACATTTCTATCACTATTCCAAGTGATAGGACATCTCATATTACATACACACTACTGCTAGCAACATTCGGGGGCTATGTCCATACTGCATCCCTCGTCTGCAAAAGCCTATGCAAATGAAGTGTGGATTAGCATATTGCTATGCTTCATTTGCATAATTAATTAGTTTTTTGTGTGTGCAAAAAACCCCCTCTTGTGCAAGAGCCATTCTTCCTGAAAAAATGAGGAACAGCTCTTGTGCAAGAGGGGTTTTTTTGCGCAAAAAGGCACTGTGTAGATGGTGCCTTTTTGCGCAAAAACCTCTCCTAATTAATTATGCAAATGAAGTACAGCAATATGCTAACCCATGCTTCATTTGCATAGGACTTTGTGGGAGGGAGCTCTTGCACAAGAAGGCAGCATGGGCGGGCGGCAGAAGTTTCTTTGAAAGTAGGAATAAGGGATGTTCCGGAAAAGGGCTTATTTTCCGGAAAATCGCGTCTACGCTGGCGCTTTTCTCCGTCAAAACCCCGAGCCGGAAAAAAGCGGCAGCCATGTAAATGCAAATGCCCGCGGCATTTGCATGTACATGGCTGCCGCTTTTTTCCGGCCCGGGATTTTTGCCGGAGAAAAGCGCCAGTGTAGACGCGATTCTCTGGAAAATAAGCCCTTTCCCTATTCCTTTCAAGTAGGAATAAGGGATCTTCCGGAAAAGGGCTTATTTTCCAGTGGTCTACACTGGCGCTTTTCTCTGGCAAAAACCCCAAGCCGGAAAAAAGTGGCAGCCATGTAAATGCAAATGCCACGGGGGATATTTAAATCCCCCGCGGATTTGCAATTCCGAAGTGTGTCATTAGCATCCCTTTTCCGGAAAGGGGTGCCAATGTAGACACAGCCGCTATGTCTACACTGGCAGGGTGTTGGGGGAAAAAAACTTTTG